CTTACCATCATTTATATTCACAAGACATTAACTAAAACAACAACAACAACAACAAACCCCAAACGAACCTAAAAGTAAATAGTGTAAAGATCAGTAGAGGGGAGGAAACAGGGTAAGGGAGGAGGGGAGGGAAGGAAATGTACTAGGGACTGAATTAGAGCAAATTGTATTCCATGCTTTTRTAATTATGTCAAAATGAATCYTAWTGTTATGTATAGCTAAAAAGAACTAATAAAAAGAAAAAAGTATAACATGAAGTTATCAATCATGAGATGCAATCAAGTACTTATTTCATTAAAAGAGTTATTGTGGGCTGGGGATGTGGCTCAAGTGGTAGCGCGCTCGCCTGGTGTGCGTGCAGCCCAGGTTCGATCCTCAGCACCACACATGAAGAAAGATGTTGTGTCTGCCAAAAAACTAAAAAAATAAATAAAACTCTCTCTCTCTATCTCTCTCTCTTAAAAAAAAAGAGTTATCATTTTTTTTTTTCTTAAACAGAAACACTAAAAGGATACACGRTGATTTTTTTTTTTTTTGGTTTTAACATAGGGCCTCACACCGGCTAGACAAGTGCTCTCCCACTGAGSTGTATCCTCAGCCCTTTTTCCTTTTGAATATGTATTCCATATGCTCATCTGGAGGAAAAATGTAGGTATTTATTTTAAAAAATAAATTTGGACRTGAATTGAAAATAAACAAACAAAAGAACAAAGAGTTCTCTGAAGCAGCATAGAGTTACACTCAGTAAACGTGGTTATAAAGATCTCTGGCCCACTTCTCACAGATTCTATCTTCAATRTGTTTGAATGGCTAAGTGTTTGTGAATCTAAAGCATGCTCAGTAAGAAGCATTTATGAGAACAATGGTGATTTTAAAAGAAAATATTACATTTCTCACACTCTGCCTTGATTATTGTATTAGTTTCCTAAGGCCACTTTAACAAAGTTCCACCAACCAACCAGGTGGCTTAAACAACAAGAACTCGTTTTTTCACAGTTTAGGGTGTCAGCAGGGTTGGTTCCTTCTGTRGGCTGTRAGTCAGGACWGTTCCAGCCTCTCTTCTGGCTTTTGTTGGCAGCTGGAGCTCCTTGGTGTTCTTTGGCCAGCAGACACTCTACTCAACTCTGCCTCTGTCTTCACAGACACTCTGCTGAACTCTGCCTTTGTCTTCACAGGGCCTCTCGCAGTGTGTTTTCTCCTCTTCTTCTAAGAACATGCCAGCCGTATTGGGTTCAGGGTCCCTCTTATTTCAGTATGACCTTATCTTAACTAATTACACCTGCTACAACTCTATTTCCTAGTAAYGTCACAGTCTGAGGCACTGGGAATTAGGGATTCAACATATTTTTTTTGGGGTTGGCAACACAATAAGCCCTAACAACTCCCTCAGTACCTTACATAAGGGTGAAAGTTGCCAGCAAACTGAGGTGCAGGGTAGACACCATTCCCAGATTCCCAGGGAGGCCCTAACACTGGGGGTGAAGTAGAGAGCTGATATTTTCCTACTGGACTTTTAACTGGGGCCCCAACAACCATGAAGACCCCAAGAGGAACTGGCTCTTTTGCATGTCTCTGTGTGCTGCCCTGGGCTCTCCAGAGGTCCCCTTCCTATAAATTTGGACAAAGCTCTCTTCTCTCCTGCCTGCTTCCTCCATAATGAAGACATTATTAGTTGTGTTGAGACATTTCACTTTGCACACAATTCTTAAATGCATGCACTGAAAATCTAAAAAGTCATGTATTTTCTTTTTAAAGCTATAATTCCATTGACTTTCCAAATTAACATTTGGAGGTAAATCTTTCTCAATGGGAAATCAAATATCATCAAATGTTGATAACTGTTAGGCAAGTTCCACTGATTCACGATTAAATATCCTGTATGCCATATATTCAAATTTTCAATCTTTCACAGCACATTAACAAAGGTATTGGAAAAGTTGAACCACCATGATCAAAGGCATTATGAAGTGCACACAGGTCTGACAGGGACAGCCACAACCTGGGAGTGGTTTTCTTTAGGAAACAAACAATTCTCTCTTTATTTCTGGGTGGTGKKKGKGGGTRTTACTGGAGATTGAACTTAGGGTTSCTCTGCCCCTGAGCTACAACCCCATCTCTTTCTTATTTTGAGACAAGGTCTCATGGAGTTCCTGAAGCTGACCTTGAACTTGCARTCCTTGCCTCAGTCTCCCGAGAAGCTGGGATCACAGGTGTGCACMAAYATGCCCAGCTAATGATACTTTCTTTAGGAAACAATTCTATAATGTGGGAATAGAAATTATTACAGCTTTTGAAAACATTAAATGCATGAATGTGAYTCCTAATTGCCATTTATTAGCTTTGCATTATGTAATGAAAAAAAAGTACTCCTTTACCCCCAGGGAGTGTTAAGCTGACACTCCCACAACCCAACATCCTGGTATTTTCTTATTGTACCAAAAATAAGCAACCATAATAAAATCATGTACACTTTATAAAATGACACATGGTGGTATTCTTTCCTTCTTAAATATTTTTTTTGAGCTACCAAAAACTTGCATTTGTAAAATCGTTGATACAAATATTTCTCTGGGTTGTATAAGAAGGGAGACAGAGACTAGTGATAAGATGTGGCATATAAGTAATCAGACTTGGCTTCTTTCTCTCCTGCTTTACCAGAGGTTGGATTTTCCTCATCTTTTGTTTTCTGGAGGTAAATCTTTAATGTCTTAGTTGGTTGCTTTGGCCTGTTTTGCTTTCCTTTTCCCTTTTATTTGAATGTTTTTGTCTGAAGATTTATCCTTTCTTGCTTTTTGTTTTGATTTAGTTTCTACTTCTGCAGCAGGTATGGCTGACAACCTTGCCCCTTGGCTCTTGAGCTCCTCCTGCACTGAGCTTTGGACTGAGCTGGGCTTCCCCTTGGTGTCTTGGTGGTGGGGAGGGGGCCTGCTGGCCATAGCGCATGAGGGCCTTCACCAAGCTGGGCTGCCTGGCCCTGCTGCTCCTTCCGGCCTATGCAAAACTCTTATCTGGACCATTTCTCCTGCTGACCTTGTGATGAAGCGACTCTCTTATCACTCTGTGTCTGTCAGGCGCCCCACTACTTGGGTTCCACWCACCACATCTCAAAATTAATGCTTTAGCGATAATGATGTTCTTATCTTTTCTTTTTCTTTTTTCTTTTTTTTGAGTGGCTGGGCCACCAACTGATCTTTTCACATGAGAGGACCATGTGATGTTCTTTTTGTCYGTGGTGGTGGCCTTTCTGGAAGCCCTTGGATTCCAATTCATCCTGTAGGCTCAGCTGAATTCTCATATGGTCTCTACCTGTCCTGCTACTTCTTATTGGCCAGGTGGGCAGTGTAGGCTCACCACTGTCTCCCCCTATCCAGTTGCTCAGCTTCCTGGGAAGAAGTGCTTCCCTGGGTATGTTGTTGTCCTTTGGATATGGGGATAAAGAGGCAACAGGGCTCTAGCTGAAACTTAGTGTGTATTTGAGTCTTTTAAGCAAATATATACACAGTGTCTCTGCTCTTTGTATTCCACATTTAAAAACTGTTATTTAATTATACAAGTGTAAACCAGAGTTAGGAAAATTAAAAAAAAAATCATCCTTTTAATTATGGTCCAACATAGGGTCTTTACTTTAATTTTTTTTTTTTTTGGTACTAGGGATTGAACTCAGAGGTGCTCAACCACTGAGCAACATCCCTAGCCCTTTAAATTTTATTTAGAGATAGGGTCTTGCTGAGTTTCTTAGGGCTTCATTAAGTTGCTGAGGCTGGTTTTGAACTCACAATCCTTCTGCCTCAGCTTCCTGAGCCACTAAGAATACAGGCGTGTGTCACTGTGCCTACCTGGGTCTTTAAGTTTTGAGATCTATTTTTGAAAATGTTCCCTGGCCCCATGTGCTTGTTTTTTTCACATGGAGGAGAGTTGATRGTCAGTCCTGGGCATTATCTTTCTATACTTTACATCTGTATTGATCAGTGGCAAAACTGGAAGCCCAGGTCTGTGGGCTGGCAGACAGTGGGGACGGTGGAGGTGCTGAGTCCCTGGTCTGGGCCTAGTGGTGGCAGCAGTTTCTCACAGTTTGGTGATCAGAAGCCATATCTGTTTTCTTAGGCATCTAGGGACTGTGGTGGTCCCCTGTGTGCATCCCCTATAATTGCCAAAGAGTTGTCTGGAGTCCATGCCATGTAGGGTATGTGGCTGTGAGTGTACTGATCCCAGCTCAGACACTGATGGCTGTGGGATTCAGAAGACTTCACTTAGAGGAGGACATCTTTGAGAATTTGACCTAACTCAGGTATTCCTCTTCTGGGAGACCTGGAGACACTGTCACCTCTAAGGGAGATGAAAGTTGAATTGAGTGGCTGATGTAGTTCTGGGGCCAGGCTTACCCTGATGTTCTTGGGGACCCCTCTCCTGGGCTGACATGGGCTTTCCCTGTGTACAGCTGTAGAAAGGGCTGATCCTCTCTTTCTGCTGTGACCTCTTTAGTCACAGACCCATCCCTGTGGAGGAGTTGGGGGACAGATGTTCCTCTGGCTGCAGACACAGCATTGAGGCAGGTGGTGAAGATGTGTCAAGGACACAAGATATCAACAGCCAGGCCTAGGGCCATCTCTGGCATGGTTATGGGAAGTTTTCTTCAGTGGGTAGATGAATTGCAGTGACTGAGGCATGGGGTTTGTGGGAGGAGACATGAGGGGAGGAGGAGGAGGAAGAAGAGAGGGCAGCAGAGAAAGAAGGTAAATCAGTGCCTTTCTGACTGGTTGTGAAATCCTATTGTGCAGATGTACCTATTTTAGATTACCTTTAATAACCCCCAACACCACATCATGTGCACGGAAATTGGTAGTCAGGATTATTAACTCATCAAGAAAGGAGCCCAGTGTACTTCTTCAGTCAAACTAGAGAGGCAAGTGAGTGAGGAAGCAAACCAGCACTTGGTCGTGATCCCAGAGTAGATAGAGTCAGGCACACACACTGGAGGCTGCATTTTTATTGAGGTTCATTGGGGACAATCACCAGTGTCTCCAAGAGTCTCCCTGGGTTCAGGTTGGGACCAGGCTCCCATGAAATTCTCGGCTACCAGGGAGAGTTCTGCTTGGGAACTCTTCTTCAGGCTGGGCATCTTCTCAGCTAATTGCCCTTTAAGACTCTTTTAATCCAGGGCACATATGGGGAGATGCGAGTGAAGACAGCAGGTGGCTTTGCATTGGTACGTCCATAGGACACAATACCATGGGCCACCCCAGCACACAGAAGAGGGCCCCCAGAGTCTCCCTGTGGGTTAGAAAAAGCAGACCATGAGCAGATTGTCACCCACCCCCCACTACTCTCCCCACCCCCTGGTTCATTGAGACCCCAGCTAGCTCCAAGGTACCCAAAGTTGGGRCTGCAGTCCTGGCTCCCCATGGGGTCATCAGTTAGGGGTTTAAGGCCTGCTTTCTCTTTCTGGCCTGGGCCCACTGCTCTGGATCCTGTCTCCTCCACCCTCTTCCTTCCTCTTCTGGAACCCTGTGTGGCAGACTGGATGGGAAGGTTAAAGACAGGACTTAGACAAGGGAAGAGGGGACCCAAAAGGAGGATTCCAGTTCCCAGAGGGCTAGGAAGCCATGAACACAGACACCAGTCACTGTGCTAAGCCACCTTTCAACCCCACTCCCTCCCCTCTGTGGGGTGGATGTGCAGGTGTGTGGTCACCTTGAATGCTGATCTCTTCTTCCTGGGGTTGCCCACGCAGATTTGCAAGTTGTGATCATAAGGCTGAAAGTGTTTGCAGGCCTTTCTCTTCATGATTTTCAGCTTCACCTCTCTCAGAACATCTGACCCTGGCTTCATCACCCCTGTTCTCCCCCAGCCAGCTGCCTGGCACACTCTCCCAGGCTGAATAAAGGCAGACCGGGTGGGCAGAGGAACTGTCCCGACAGCATGGGTCAGCTTGGCTCTCCTTTGCAGCTGTGAGGGAAGGAAGAGGAGCTGGATTGCCAGGCCCACGGAAGAGGGGTGGTGTGGCAGAGGCTCCCTGGGGCAGGGCCAAGAGGTTCTCCCCAGTGTGACTGTGATGACATGGAGTGGAAGGGTGGGCCCTGAGCACAGGAGAAGGGTACAGGCATGAGAAGACTTAAGGAAGGGGGAGTTGTTGAGAAGGGGAAGAAAGGTAATGGCACCTTCAGTAACATGATGTCATTGAGAATAGTAGAGGAGTTATAGTTCCGGTGAACAATTTGTTTTGCAACTTCCAGCCTCTGCCATGTGGGTTCTCTCTGTGTCAAGTTATGAGCACCAAGAGTGACAGTAATTTTTCTGTTGAGAGGGAGAACAGAGGCAGTACAAAGTGCTTGTTCCCTGCAAGTACTCATTCTGAGCAAACTGTCACCAGGCCCTTCTCTTTTCCAGTGCAGAGCCACTGGAGGGACTCAGGTCATTTCAGGAAGGGTGGGGCTCTGGCAGACACCCTTATACACTAGGTGCAAGCTTTTCTGGCACCAGGATGAGAAGGGCAGTGCTGGCTTGCCTTGACCTGGGCTTCCCTGTACAAAGTCCTGGCCTCTGGAGATGGGGATGACCAATGAAATGGCCCAGGTTCTCCCAAAAAAACATTGCTGACTTGCTAGTGATGAAGAGGGCAGGGAAACCTCTCTTCAGATTACTTCAAAGTTGTCTGAACTCTGGTTCCCCTACCTCCTCATATGAAGAGAGAACAATCCAAAGCTTCTTACCTTCCTTCACAATGAGCAGCTGTCACCACAAACTGTTGACTTATGAGAAACCCACCACAGCTGGCAACAAAACCTCGGTCAGTGAGGATTTCCAGATGGGCCATGTAGGGCCGGGAGTGTGGCCTGGACTCCATACCACCGATAATCTCCTCTGGAAGAGAGAGCCCCAGATCCCCAATCACAGGATGATAGAGCCTTCCAGCAGAGCCCGGGGTGAGGAAGATGGACTAAAAGCTGAGGGACTGCACCTGCTTCTGGTCCTCATCTCTTKTAAGGATAAAGCTCAGCCCCTCCACACACTTTTTTTTTTTTTTTTGCCTTTCCCTACCCCATACTCCACCCTGTGAAATGCCATCTTCCTTTTCTGAACACAATGCCCCATCTTGTTTGTGAGTTGTCATTTCATTTGGACATTTCTTCATGTCCTTATCCCGATCTACTCAATACAAAGGCAAAGCCAGAGAAGGGCCTTGATTTGTGGGTATCTTGAGGAAAGCAAGTGAATGGGAATCAGTTTTCTAATTCTTTCTCTACCCAAGACTTCTCGTCCCTGGGAAACTGCCAGTGTCGGAAGGAAAGARTTTGACCCTTCCAGGTTGAGATTTCCCTTGGAATGATTGCAAAGGGATCCTGTAGCCTCAATTTAGGGTCTTCCCTGATCCAGGACAATTCATCTGGGGTGGGATGGAAGACCCAGAGAACAGGGAGTTTCAGGCAAGACTCACCAGCTCCGGCTTCAGGAGCCAAGAGAACCACCATCAAGAGGAGCAGGGCCTGCATTTTCCTTGTGGTACCGGCCATGGTAAGATTCCTGTGACACCCACTCGTAGGTCCCTGCTTTTATAGTCCCAGAAGTAGATGAAACAGGAGGGCTGGAAACCACAGAGCCTGTCTCKTCCAGTTTTGCTTTTCACTCTGGCTTGCTTGCCTTCCTTATCAGACGTTCTCATGACTCCTGTCTGCTGTGCTGTAGTCGAGGCTGTGGTCAGATCCCAGGAGTCCTGGTTCCCAGGATCAGACATGTACCTTCCCCATCCAAAGCAGCTCTCCTGAGGCAGAATGGGGGGTGGTGGTAAAGGATCAAGTATCAAAAATAGCGTTTATTATTATTATTATTATTATTACTAGCATCATTAATCCCCAAGATCATTAACCTATTCCAAAAGTTTATGAACTGAATTATCTTATTTTGATTTGCACCAGAACTCTAAGGGGCCAAGAGAAATATAGAACTACTCCTTAGAATTGTTATCAGAACYCTAAGGGGCCAAGAGAAATACAGAAATATAGAACACCTCCCAATCCAATTATAATATCCAACTGGTTCTGGGTCCTCTACCCTATTTCTAGCCCCTCTTCTGTGGAGCAGTTCTTCCTGTGACCTGGATTTCCACAGCCCCATGACAATGATATACTGATCTCTGAGTTATGCTTAGGAAGTTGAAGGCTAGGGTAATTAGTTAGTTGCATCCTGTTTGTTTTGGATCTGTGTATACCATTATTTTTGTATATTCTTCTAGTTACTCAACCCCACCCCCTTTGTTTTATGGCCTCTTACATATGGTCTGGATTTCCTGATAATCACATGACACAAATTGGCATTATCTCTTCCAGCCTCAATCTTCTATTGCTTTTCCCTGGTTGTCACAGGAAATCTTTCAACAACAACATTTATGTSAACTTGGCTATCAAAATTCTCCATTTCTTCCAGGCTCTTGGTTTCTGGATAAAATGCCACTCACTCATGCAGTTTATCAGTCAAAAAACTAGCTCAATGGAAATTTAACTAAATGTCCRTCTCTGGTAATACAAAGGAGATCACGATCTGCAAGCCACTATTTGCAGTACAAATAGCATCATGCTGCAGTGTAGAGACATATAATAATGTGTGTGGGGGGATGGTAAGTGACACTRCCTGAGGTAGTGACAGCTTCATTTGAATTGAGGTCTGAAGAATAGGTTAGATTGCATCATTGATTAAATTAAAATAGGTMTTTTTTGGCCAGAAATAGTAATCTATACAAAGAGTGTATTTGAAGAACTTCAAGTCATTCAGTATCACTGAAGATTAAATTAAGAGATAAAGAGTAGGAATAGTGAAAGACGAAGCTAGGTTGGAGCTTTGAATATTAGCTACATTTTTTTGGGAAGGTGTTGTATATATAAGATGAAAARTGCACTAATCTTGAGGTTGTGGCTAGATAATCTTATGCATAATCATGCACCCATGTAACTACTGACATGCTTAGGACAGAATGTTTTCAGTCTAGAACACCCCAGAGACCATCACTGCTCTGACTCAACCATCAGAATGTTAATAGTTATCCACTTTAATATAAAGAAATCATAGAGCACAAATAGTTTTATTTCTGGCCTTTTKCACTTGGCATAATATTTGTGACATTCATTAATGCTGTTGGGTGTTCTAGTAGTTTCTTCTTAGWTGTTACTTTGTAGTTTTCTTTGAACATGTCACAACTTCTTATTCATTCTGTTGTGGATAGGAATTTGGAATGTTTCCAGTTTTTCACTATTATGGATAAGATTGTCACAATTTTTCCCAAGTAGATTTTATAAACAACATCACCACCACTGTGACTGGATATGGAAGCATCACACAATCTGAACTTCTGTGACCTCTGTTGTTTCTGGTATCAGAGCCCAGCAAGCCTGTCTCTTCWGTCCACACTTTTGTGATTCTGTTATTTTGGTTTCATGCTGGTGCTTATTCTATTTTTTTGCCAGATCACCTTTCATTACTTATATTTTCTTTTCTTTTTTTTTTTAAAGAGAGAGAGTGAGAGAGAGAGGGGGACAGAGAGAGAGAGAGAATTTTAACATTTATTTATTTTTTCTTAGTTCTTGGCGGACACAACATCTTCGTTTGTATGTGGTGCTGAGGATCGAACCCGGGCACCACGCATGCCAAGCGAGCGCGCTACCGCTTGAGCCACATCCCCAGCCCATTATTACTTATATTTTCAAAAGTAATTTTTATGTGTTAAGAGTTGAGGAGGGCTTATCTAGCCTAAGTACCAATTACACTCCCAGTTTCTCCCTTTAGCATACCTTTCTAGAAAGGCAATTATTATATTATAGGATGTACACATCTTTAGATACTTTGTAAATATTGACTTGGGCCATATGGCCATTTCTGCTTCTATAAATAAATATAGTTAAATGAAAAAAATGTCCAACTCAAACTTGTTGATTAGGTAATATTTTATGAAGCTTGAATCTTCAAGACATTACAGTCCTTACATGGTGAAATTCGCATAATATATACTTCTTCAAATCTTATGCATACAAAATAAATTTTCAGTGTATAAATTTTTAGTGTTYAGGAGCTCTTAAGTATCATTTTTCAGTTATGCAGAGAAGAAAGAGTAGCATAAATGACCCAAGTTTGAGAGTTTCTGGCATAGTAAAATTCATGGGAAGCACATTTTCTTCTAGCTCATACTRTAATCTGAATGATTGTAGGATTGAGGGGTCATTTACTCTTATGCAAAAATCTACTGAGCATCTATATTGTACAGAGACCTTCAGAGCTAAGCACTAAATTTAGGCATTTATAGATTCTTCCCTTGAAGATTCCCTGTTTTCATGTGAAAGACTGTGGTAGGGATCAGACAGGGAGGGACCTGGTGTATAATGAGCCAGGTTTGATTTAGGGAAGTGTGGCTGTCCCTCCAAACTCACAATGTAGTCCTGCTAGGGCTGTGGCATGGAGGGTTGGAGAAAAGCATGTGTACTGGGACAAAGACTTACACTTATTGTGGGTCTTAAGTATATTAGACATCTTCCATGGGACTATTTGTTGCTCCTTGTGTGATTGCYCAGGACATAGATAGAGGGACCTTCAGGAGCAGAATTGAACAGCAAAGGCAGCAATATAGAGGCTTAGAGCAGAGGGATGGGACTTCAAGAGAAAGAATGAGTGTTGAGAAAGTAGATGTACTTAGGTGAGGACAGTAGGCGTCATTCCCCTCATCCATTACACATAGGAACCAGCTGGCTTGGAAAAGGGGGTTGCCCTCCTAGATAGGGGTGTGATGGAAAGGGCTGGGGGGCAGGGATCTGTGGCTTTGCATTTGATGTGGCTGTGCTCAGCAGGGTTTTGGGCTGCTGATCTCCTCAGAACTGGATTTACTCCTACTTTTGGTTATTTTTCTTATTTTTCTCAACTGTGATTTAGAGACAAGTTCTACATCCTTTTTCAGTTGTCAGCAACTTTATCAGTGTTATCTATTGGTGCTGATAAGAGAATAAAATCTGCCAAACCATATGGGTATGAATATACATTATCTTTTATTAAAAAATCCAGCATGGCAATATTTAATTACAGAAACACATGAGCATGAGTGTAAGCATYTGTGTACACAGAGACACACACTAGAGAAGATGTTTTATTTTTTTAAATTTAAATATCKATTCAGAGTTTTAGTTTTTCTTTTTTTTAAACATCAGAAATTTATTAGTTGCTCAAAACATTACATTGATCTTAACATATCATATATCATACATTTCATTCAAATGGGGTATGAATTTTTATTATTCTCACATGTACAGATTGCAGRATCACATTGGTTATACAGCCACGTTTATACACACTGCCATACTAGTGTCTGTTGTATTCTGCTGCCCTTCCTATCCCCTTCCTATCCCCCTCCCCTCCCTTCCTTTCCCTTCCCCTCACCTCTCTCTACCCCATCTACCATAACTCATTTAGAGAYGATGTTTTAAAGCCACAACTCAATCACTCAGTATTCTTGGTTTCATTGCCCAGAGGCAAACTCAATTGTTTCTAATTTTTTTGGCATGTTTGTCAAAAGTCAATTGAGTTCCTCCAAGTTGCTTCACATTCTTTATAATCTTTAAAATTTAAACATTGTATTAGGTGTAAGTAGAATTGTCTTAGGTACTAAGTTGCATGTCCCTGATCACTGATGATGTTGAACATCTTCTCTTGTGCTTTTCGGCCATTTGTACACCTTCTTTTGTGAACTGTCTGTTAAAATTTTTGGCCCACTATATTTTTACTGTTTGTGCAAATATCAACACAGGGACGTAAGAAACATGAAACAGCAAGGTAACATAACCCATCCAAAGGAACTCAATATTCTCTGGCAAGACCCCAAAGAAAGGAAATTTATGAAATGCCTGAAAAGGCATCCAAAGTAATAATCTTAAAGTAACTCAGTGAGACATAAAAGCGTACAGATAGAGAATTCAGTGAAATTATAAAAATGTTACATGATTCAAATGAGAATTTCTATAAAGAGATAACAAAACAAAACAAAATTTGGAAATAAAGAATTCAATAAATGAAATAAAATATATCAAGAACAAACTAAATCTTATGTGTCGCGACCCCTTGCCCGCAAGGAAGACGCAACTCAGGAATCTTCTCTCAGCAGTTTATTCAGGTCCTTGATACTTTTTCTTCTTTCAGCTGTTTATTCAGGCCTTTGTATTGACATGTCTTTTAGCTTCTACTGCTACTCCTACTGCCACTACTACTACTGCTACTACTACTGCCACTACTACTACTGCTACTACTACTGCCACTACTACTACTGCTACTACTACTGCCACTACTACTACTCCCGTGTGCCCCAGCCTTAATAAAGCAGATAAAGCCCCAATGCACAACTGCCACGTGGACTTTTCTCATAGGGTGCCAAGTCACAGCGTGCCAACTCATTCTGATAAGGAGTTGTTTGTCACAGACTACAGGGGAAACCAGCGCCATCTTGYAATGGCGGCCACAGTTCACAGAAACGGCTCACCACACTTATGTAGG